AGAGGTCCCTTCTTTCCTCTATGAAGTGGAGTTCAGCCCGCAGACTGTCCTCATTCCGCTCAGGATCATAGTGGATGGTTCTATGCGTGGGCACCAAGACCTCAGTTGGGACCTTAGCCTGAAAACCGTATGCAAGGGCGAACGGTGTCTCTCCAGTTGCTGTTCGTGGCGTTGTTCTGTATGTCCACAAGACGTAATTTAGCTGTTCGGGCCAGGTTGAAGCATAATCTTCGAGTTTCTTCTTCATACCATCCATGATGGTCCTGTTCATATTCTCCACCTGCCCGTTCGCCTGTGGATATGCTACGGAGGCCCTTGAATGCCTAATTCCCCATTTGGTAAGGAATTCTTCGAAGTTCCTGCTCACGAACTTTCGTCCATTATCCGTGATGACCTGCTCGGGGAGTCCGAACCTACATATAATATTTTGCCAAACAAAACGTTGACATTGAAAATCCGTGATACTGGCCGGGGATTCGGCTTCCACCCATTTGGTGAAGTAATCAATCCCTACTATGATGTACTTCCTTCCTCCGGACGCAGTAGGTAGGGGCCCCAGCAAGTCGATCCCCCACCTAGCGAACGGTAACGATATGGTCATCGGGGTGTAAAAATTTGCAAGCCGCCCAGGAACTGGCGCGTATAGCTGACATATCTTGCACCTCCTTGTGTGCTCGAAACAGTCCTGCTGAATAGTTGGCCAATAATACCCTTGTAAGATGATCTTTCTGGCCAGGGTTTTTGGTCCCTGATGGCCGGAGCAGATGCCTTCATGAATTTCTTCCATCACAGCAGCTGCCTGAACGGGGGGAAGGCATTTCAGATATGGCCCCCCGAACGTCTTCTTATACAGTTGCCCGTCCACCAGTTCGAACATTGAATTGGGGCCCTTCGCTGTATACAAGTGAAGTTCGTTCCGTGGCCATCCTTCAGGGCTGCTAATCTTCCGGTCAACTTCTGAACTTCTTTCAAGTTCCGTGGTGCCTCCATGTCCATGATTGCCTTTACCTTTTCAGGATTAGGCTTAATTCCCCGTTCACTCATCATATAACCCAAAAACTTGCCCCCTTTGACTGCGAATGCGCATTTTTTGTGGTTCAGCCTCATATTGGCCTTCTGCATGATCCCAAAGACCTTTTTCATGTCCTGGACATGGTCCTCCCTCCTTCTGCTCTTAATCAGGATGTCATCCACGTATGCTTCCATGGTCACTCCCAGCACTTCTTTGAATAACATGCCGATCATTCTCTGGAAGGTGGCCATGGCATTCTTCAACCCGAACATCATAACAATGTAGCAGAACACGCCATCCGAGGTGACGAATGCAGTTTTTTCTGCATCATCCGGGTGCATGAAGACCTGGTGATAACCCCGGAATGCATCCATAAAGCTCAGTAGTTCACACCCGGCTGTCTCGTCTACCAGCAGGTCTATTCGTGGGACAGGATAGGGGTCCATGGGGCAGGCTTTATTCAGATCGGAGTAGTCCACACACATTCTCCAAGTAGATCCTTTTGGAGCAAGGACCACATTAGCCAGCCATTCGACATGGATGACTGGTCTAATGTGCCGGATTCTTAGTAAGGTGGCTACCTCCTGCTTGGTGAACTCCCGCCGTTCGGCCGCCTGATATCTTTTCTTTTGTTGGACTGGCCTGGCATCAGGCCGAACGGCCATTTTGTGGCATATGAGGGCCGGATCAATCCCCGGCATGTCTTCGGGTCCCCGGGCAAATAGGACTTGGAATTTCTTCAGGACAGCGATCACCCCTTCCCTGATTTCCCCTACCAGATCCACCCCGATCGCAATTTTTCGATCGGGAGGGGAATCAAGCTCAATGTACTCCAGGAGGGTGGCTGGTTCGGGGCGTCCCTCAAATTCTGTGCACCGGGTCTGCACCTCAATGCTGTTTATCCGTTGTCCCCGGGCGGTCATTTGTTTCAAAGCCTCCCTGTAGCACGTCCGGGCTATGGCAGGATCTGTTCGGGCTACTCCTACTCCGGTGTCAGTTGGGAACTTAATGCATGAGTGTCGAACAGAAGCAATTGCTTCCAAATCTTCAAGCCCTGGACGGCCCAATATGGCGTTGTGGGCACATGCAATGTCCACCACCACAAAAGTCATCTGGACTGCTGCCCGATGGTTTCGTCACCAATTTCAACCAGAAGCTGGATGGTGCCTTCGGCCTCGATTACATTGCCGGTAAAGCTAGCCAGTGGTGTCTTCAGCTTGGTCAGCTGATCCTTCTTCAGCTTCATCTTCTCCAATGTGTGTAAATACAGCACATTCACACTACTCCCCGTGTCCACCAGAACTCGGCGGATCTAGGCATTGTCTATACACATACTCACCACTAGTTCGTCCCTGTGCGGACTTGGTGAGTTGGGTAGGTCAGCCACCCCGAACGTAATTGGCTCCAAGCGGCCCTTCTTCGTGGGTGGTGCAGCTACAGAGGCGACATAGAGGCTGCGCTCAAATTTCTTACGTTCAGCAGCCGTATCCCCGGTTTCTCCCCCACCAAAGATGACTTTGACTTCCATCCTTGGCTTCTTCCCCGGATTCCCCGATCCCTCGGCCTCCTCTATAGGGGGGCAGTATGAATCTTTACTTGGCTCTGGGTCCCGCTGGACATTCCGCTTCCAGCTATTAGATCGGGGAGGGCGTTGATTGGGGGAAAGGCTGTTCGGGTTGGTGCTGACATATTTCCTCAGGCAGCCTTTCTGGATCAGGTCCTCGATTGCCACATGTAGGGCGTGGCAATCCTTCGTGAGGTGTCCATTCCGCTTGTGGTATTTGCAGAAGGCATTCGGGGTAGGTCCCATCATGGGCCTTGTGTCAGTAGGGGGAGGAATGGCATTCTTTTCCAGATTAAAAACGCCAGCCATAGACATGACCAGGGGGTGAAACGTGTAGTCCTGCGATGGGGTGCTGTAACCGCTGGTGCGGGCCCCAAACGTTCCGCCAGCCTTGTGGTGGGGGGCTGCGGGGCCGTTCGGTCCCTTATCCTGATTTCTTCTTCCAGGGCCGCATGCCTCCTGGCCCTCTCCAGCACCTCCGGGTAGTGGGTGCCTGGGTTCTTCTTGAGTTCCCTATATAGTTCCCCGGTTTGGAGAGCATCTGTGAATAAGAGGATGGCGGTCTCGTCCGTCATGCTAGTGACCTTGAGGGTTTCGTTCCTCCATCTGATCAGGAAGTCGCTGACGAACTCCCTTGGTGCTTGCCTCACCGTGGTCATGTGACCAAAATGCACCTTTTGCTTGGTGCCAGAAGCGAACTGTGCTAGAAAGAGAGTGGACAGTTCGGCAAAGCTTCCGATTGATCTGGGCTGCAATGTCCCGAACCATTCTTGTGCAGCTCCCCGGAGGGTACTGAAGAACAACCTGCAGATGGCAGCATCAGTAGCCCCAAGGAGCATGAGGCCTCCTTGGTAGCTCCTCAAGTGTACCTCGGGGTCACCTACCCCATCATACGTAAGCCCGGCCGGGGGACGGCAGTCCCGGAGAATTTCTGCACTTATAATCTCCCATGTAAAGGGAGAAGTGATACCAACCCTAACTGGTGGGGTTTGCTGGGGCGTTCGGTTCACCTGCTCTTTGAGCTCGGTCATCTGTCTCCGCATCTCGGCCATTTCTTCGCCCTGGGCCGTTCGGGGAATATGTGGCAACCTTGCTTCCACATATTCCGGCATTCTGTTCGGGGGAGGGGCAGCTGTGTTCGCCCTCCTCCGGATGAATCGTTCCCCATCCCTCTGGACATACTGGAAGTGCTGTCCAACGGGGTCTACCATGGGGGTAGGTTCCCTGTAATCGTTCCGAGGTGCGGATGGGGTTCGGCTGGTGGGTGGTGCGTACCTGGGGATGTTGGTCCTCCATTGATTTCCCCGATACTGCTGGGAATGTGCTGAAGCCGTGGTGGTTTCAGTGTCTTCCCCCTCGTTAAAGGATGACATAGGACGAACAGGGGATAAAGGCTCATGAGTCCCGTCAGTATATCCCTGCTCCTGTTCATTTGCCATGCGTTGCATAGCCTCTGTCATCTCCCTCATCAACTGAGGGTTCCTCCTCACATCCAGAGGGATGATGCCCTCAAACTCCCGGGTGGCACTGCCACTGGCATTTCCTTGCATGGACCATCCCTCAGAGGACCCGTTGCCTCCTTGGCCCCTAGATGTAGAACTTGGTGTCGCGGTAGTAATTCTAGCCATCTCGAAAAATGGTACTTAGATCAAAGGTTTTGCTTGGGGCTTTTAGTAGAGTTTCTCACAGACGGCGCCAATGTTGAGTTTTATTCCCGAAGATCCGAAAGCCCAACACAAGCTTTGGATATTGCAGGGATATTGGACTGGGTTGAAAAGTGTATAAAATATAAAAACAGTGAAATATTATCCAACTCAGGAGCTTACTTGCATTCAGTAAATACGCTATTACAATGAAACTACCCAAACGGTAGATGAGTATGAGAATACAAGGATATGAGATGTAAATCTATTGCTAAGCTCTGAGTATTGAAATGCTAACCCCTTTACAATGGTCTAAACATGAGTATTTATACTAAAATGGGGATGAGTAAGGTGAACACGTGGCCTAATCTGGTAGGCTGTCCCCTCTGCCATGTAAGCACCCATGCCCCCACTTGTAGCCGCCATTATCCAGCATTAAATGCGGTTTCTACTTGATGATTGCCCGTTCGGGTAAGGTGTTCGGTGTGTGGGACCCCGGCCATTGGTGCTTCGGCACAGTTGTTTCCTGAAATGTTCCAAGTAGACGCTTTACCCCGAATGCCGTTCGGGGTTCCTTGGGCTCTTTTGGGCCCGCTGCTCCTTTCCGGATTTGGGCCAGGGGATATTGGGCCTGGACCTAATATCCCAACAGCTATAATGTTAGATTTTGTAGTTACTATAAATCGGGCCACCAATGTTTACATGTCCGATCTTCCTATATTTCCTCTTTCCACCTTACAAATTACGTACCATCCTCTTTTCCTATACTCACTCCTACATCTTCCATCCCATCAACGAAAAACATACATTATCCTAACTTCAAGATGAAACTCAACGGGTGAGAGAAAGAAAACGAAAACGAAAGAGAAGGCTATTATCCTCAAATCATTGCGGCTTTAGCTTTCTCTTCCTCCTAATATCATCCTGCTTCCTGCATATATTGATATATGTATATATACATGCATGCTTAACCGGATGCGAAAGCTTTGTCCGAATTTGGACAAAGAAGATGGGCTGGAGACGGTGCTCGAGGTGCCGATACCGGAGGAAATGTTGGGCTGCGGCAACACCGCCGTGGGCTGGAAAAACCTCCGCCATCGCATGAAGGCTTACCAAAAGTCGTCGTCCTCTTCCCCGCCGTCGTCTGATCACGATGAAAATCTTTTCCTGCTTAAGATCGTCGGCTCCGCCTTAATCCCTTTCAAGGCTCAATCTGATCGTGCCCTCACCATGCCCGTCCGTGATTGTTCCATTGTAAGTCAACACAACTTTTTATTCATTAATTAATGATATTTTACATGTTTGTTAGGTGTTTTGACTTTGGATGTTACATTCCGCCCATCATTTTAGTAATTATTCAGACGTATTTAAATTTGTTAGTCATATAGTATATATGTATGCCCTAATTAATTGTTTTGTAGAGTCAAACACTTTCCATCAATTGAAGTTAAAATTAAATTATCTTATTTTTGAGAGAAAATTAAATCATCCTATTGATAATTAGTTCAATTTTAGCAATTAAAATTTAAATATTTTCAAACTACATTAAAAACTCTACAAAGTTGCAAAATTCAAATTAAAATTTAATTAAGAATTGATATCCTAATTAAGTAAATACAATGAATTTGTTTGATAAAAAAATCAATTTTGCAACTTAATTTAGGACCGTGAGAGTATTAATTAAGAATCTATATATGTATGTCCCTAATTGTTTTGCAGAGTCAAATTAAACACTTTTCATCAATTGATGTTAAAATTAAATTATCTTATTTTTGAGAGAAAATTAAATCATCCTAGCTGAACCTTTTCCCTAAAATCCTAAAAATTAACTTTGACAAATTTAATGACACGTAAAATGAACACTATGTTGTACAAATGGAATGAAAATTGAATTTTGAAAGATTAACCAGCTAAATAATACGAGCTAAACAAAACGGATCGATTCTAAATGGTACCTTAAAGAACGACTCTCTTTCCATATTTTTTAATCCTGCAAGATTAAACTAGCGGTATAAGCTAAGTAATTCAATATCTCACATATTATTGATTTAATATTTGATACGATGCGACAAACAATTAATCTTTTAATTCGTCGAAAAAGACGTTGCCTGCATCGAATTGTCTGGAGAAAAGTATGCTATATGTAGGGTAGAAAAGTTCTTAAATTGAAAAGAATTACTCCCTATTAGTTTAATGACCAAATTTGCAACTAAACAAAATTACAGAACTAATAACGGGTACAACCAAAAGTCACACGTCTGAAATTACAATTCTCTCTTCTTCATTTATTGCAACATTTTATTTTCATGTTTGTCAACGCACAATGTGCGTACCTTTAACTATTGATATATTTCATTTCTTATTAGTAAAAAAAAATCATATTTTGAAATCTAAAATGAGAACAATTTAAGAATTTAGCAATATCTTTTCAAAATTAAATTTCTAGTACATTATTAAATAAAACTGAATCTAGGTAGAGCATATAAATAGTTTAAAATTCAACATGTTTCATCTATTTAAAGATAGGCAATTGAATTTATAACTACACGTACAAGGAAACAATAGGAGGCTTCAACGGCAAGATATATAGTGCAACAATACCTAGCAGCAACAGGAGGCCTTGGCGTGTTGAATTCAATCAAGAATATGTACGCGGTGGGGGAGGTGAAGATGACAACCTCGGACGTGCAAAAGGGCGGCGGTCAGCGGCGGCTGCAGGCTTCAAACACCGCCATGCGCAACAACTGTGAGGTTGGGGGGTTTGTGTTATGGCAAAAGAACCCTGACCTGTGGTTCCTTGAATTGGTCATCTCCGGCTGCAAGATCAGCGCCGGCAGTGATGGCAAGGTTGCTTGGACTCAATCCTCTTCCAACTCTAATCCCTCCAAAGGCCCTCCCAGACCACTCCGAATGTTTTTCCAGGTAAGTATATATATATATATATATATATATATATTGTTTGCTTTTGTATAATCCATGAATAATACTCCATACAAGAACAAATTGGAATAATATTTAAACCAATATATATGGTTTTGTGTATAAAAGCTTAAGACACTTAATTAGAGCACTGGGAATATAATGTTTTCACTTGGTTATTTTTTTTGTTCTAATATAGTTTGGTTCAAGTCTAATTATATTGAGCTAGTCTGATTTATTCAAGTCTATACTACTATGATTTACTTAGATCTGATGTGGTCTATGGTGGGAACCACTAACTATTACAAAAGTGACATTCCACGTAAAAGGCACGAACATTTAACGTCGGTTAAAAAACTGACGTAATAAGTGTGCTTTAAAAATTGAATACAGCCTACCACATCGGTTATTTTAAAAAACGGACGTGGAATACAACCTATTACGTCAGTTGTCTAGTTATAACATGGCCTTTCTTGCAGGGGCGGAGCTACTAGGGGGTCAGGGTGGTCAGCCGACCCCACTGAAAATTTAAGAGTGTAGAACTTTTAAATATCTTCGATTTGATATATTATGACTCTCTTAACTCATTACGAGTAAAAAGTTATGACTTCTGCAAAATCAACACTATTTAAGTTTGAAATTAGTAAAATTGTGATGCGTAATATTAATTATATTCACAAAATAACGTGTAATTCACTCGTTACTTACGTGACATGACTTAGGGACAGAACAAAGACAACATATCTTACTGCTACAAGTGCCTACTCAATAAATGATTCTTTTCTAGTAAGAAATCTTGATACTAAACCGAGTAAGATCGAAGAGAACCATAGAGTACTAGGATAAGACAATAGGTCTCATCCGAGGTACTCAACTCAACCCGTATAAAACAAGTTTATAATATATGTGACATATACGAAGTATATTAACTACATATACTCTATTAGTTTCATTTACCCTTTAAACTACTACCTCCGTCCCTAATAAAACTTCCAATTACGAGTTACGAAGTTTGACCAGTGATAAAGTTAAATGATCCCTGTGAAAACTCGGATTATTTTTAGTAAATAAAATTTACATATTCAGAAACTACATTAAACCCGCTACAAAGCCTGCAAAAAATAATTTAATTTTTATAAATTTTTGATATATAAAGTAAGAGTTTAAGTGTGATTTAAGTTGACTCTCGAAAAGCAAAATGGAAGTTTATTTAGGGACGGAGGGAGTATCATTTATCTAAGCTACATTCAATTCGGTTATTGTCTAAAAATAATCTACCATTTTGATTCTATGTAAATTTGATTTCGACCCCACTGGGTCATTTTTCTGGCTCCGCCCCTGCTTTCTTGTACACCACTTTAACTTCGTATATTCTAATTATATATATATATATATATATCTTGTACACCACTTCAAAATTAAAGTGATGGTGATATACCTTTTATTTTAGCTTCATGTGATCCCATCTTGTGTGCATGGATCAAAGCAATATTAACGGAATTGAAAGTAACAAATTTCTTTTTATGAGGGAAATAAATTGAAGTGATAAATATACTATTATAATTTTTAACATTACTTCATTTTTCCTATTTGTTTGTCAACATTTTGATTTTGTTGGTGTTCCTTCAATTCATTTGAATTGTACGTTGTTAAGAAAATCATTTAATACTTTGTCACTGATAATGCTTTTCTCAACTTGGCCGTTAAAACTAAATATTAGGGGCGAGCAAAAATACCAAACCGGCATGGTAACGGATCGGACAGGTATTGTACCACACCGATAAACGGGATTTGAAATCGATCTCATTTTTTTGTCCCGAACCGGACCGTACTGGTTCCAAACAATGCCATGAAGGGTTCTCATAAAATGAGAATCAGTACTGGACTGAACAAGACCGAAGTATAGTTAAATTATTTAAATTTATACTATTATAGTTTATCTAAAATTTATTAGTTACCTTATCTGTCCCAAACTCATTTGCAAAGTCAACATTTTTTATCAATGTTAATGTTAAGTCCTCCCTAATGATAATTAATAATCCGTACAATTTTTAATAATTAAAATTTACATATGTAGAAACCACATTAAAATATCTAGCTTTAAAATTGCAAAATCCAAATTAGAATATACGAAGTATTTTTTCCTGAAAGGCCAAATTAGAATATAATTAAAAAGCGAAATCTTAATTAAATGAATAAAAAAACTTTTTGACCAAAAAAAGGTTGACTTTGCAAATCATTTTGGAACAGAGGTAGTATGAAATATGAAAATTGTTAAATTGTGTGGATTGTTGGAGAATGCCTAAACTTTAATTTTTCCTTAAACACTTAGAAAAAGTGACATTATTTGGCATTGGTATGGCATAGTACCGTCCCGTTTGAAACTGGACTGTACCAAATAGGTTTAGGCCAGAAGACCGAATCGAACTGAACCGAACCGAACCGAACCGTTTCAATAGTAATGATACGGGTACGGGTCGACCAAGTATTGGACCGGACCACACTGTGCCCACCCCTACTAAATATGTAACGCACCACAAAGAAAGATTTAACATATGGAGTAAAGAACAATATATCAAACAAGAACTCGCCTAAAATTGGAGTATTGGACTTTAGAAACCGACACAACATATTAAAACGTACCAAGACTAATGACAAATACAAATTGACAATTGTAAACATAACTAAATCATAATAGACTGGAACCCATAATTAAATTGTTATGTTCGATCAGTTTCAATTTGTTGGTAAAACCAAATAGATCAAACCCAAACAATGTGCACCTCTATGAGATTACATATCAAGTTTTATGACTTATGATCGAGCCCATATATACGAGTAAATATGTTATGGATCGGAAAAGCTTTATTTATTTAATAAAACCCATAGACAACATCATGAATATGGTTTTTTTGGATATATAAAACACACATGTAAGCTAATTATAAATAGATAGACAAATGAAAGGTGAGCTTTCTTCAAATCTTGGTGAGGAAGTGAAAGATATTATGATGAATATTTTTTTTTTTTTAATATAGGGACTTGATCCGAGATCAACGGCAAACCTATTCTTGAACGGGATTTGCATTGGGGAAAAGAAAGTAGGGGAAGAAGAGTGTTTCATAGTGAAGGTGGAGACAAGTGCAGAAGTGTTGAAAGCACAAAGCACATCCAACACGAACGCCGTTCACCACACAATGTGGGGAAGTTTTAGCCAAAGAAGCGGTCTCCTCACCCAATTTCAAGACACCAAGTTGGTAAGGCTGAAGACGACATCCGGCGACGATGATGATCGGAGCGTGTTCTGGGAAACAAACATGGAATCTGTGTTGGAAGACTATAGATATGTCGAGGGAGTCAACATTGCACATGGAGGGAAGACTATTGCTATGATATATAGGTATGGGGATGATAAGAGCTATAGGGCAAAGATTGAGGAGACTTGGAGAATTGAGGAGATTGACTTTAATATTTGTGGTTTGTGTCGGGATTCCTTTTTACCACCCGCATACTAAGTCAAATTGGTTGTATATGGGACTAAAAAGTCCGGATATGCTCACATGGGAGTGTTTTTGTTCTTGTTCTTAAATAGGACCATATTTCCGTATTATTCCTATTTTACCCTTAATTATTTGTCCGCTCCACTTAAGTTCCAAGACCCTTGTTCCTTTTCTCTTTGTTTTCTATTTGCTTCGCAGGTAATGGTGCTCAACGACACCCAGGCAGCGGACGACAAAGTCATGGACGACGATGGGATGAAGAATTGAAAGCAATCGGAAAATTCCATGAACGGCGGTGAGGTGTTGCACACAGGATGACTGCAAAAGTCCGACATAACAGGTTCTCGGTTCATCTTTTCGTCGCAGGAATACCGGAATAGAGCTCAGAGGTATGCGTGGTATTTGGTTGTTAACAAATTCCAAAGATAATCTGAAATGCCATCAAAATGGCATTCTTACACTTCAAAAATTCTAGATTTTGTTGTGAAAATGCCATTTGGATGACATTCTGGATTCATGTTTGGCATTTCGATAAAAATGTTGGCATAAGCGACGGGATTTGTCAGATCTACATCGGCGGAGGTTAGATCTCTAACGGTGGAGGTCGGATCTAATCTGGCGGCGGCCAAATCTGCAAGGCCGGCAGCTGGCTGCCAGGGGTGGCCAGATCTGCTCAGATCTACGGCGGCGGAAGAATCTGCGGCGGCAACGGCCAGATCCGTAGTGGCAGTGACCAGATTTGCGCCGGTGACTAGTTCGGCAGTAGTTGCGGTGGCCGGCGGCGACTGGAGACCGGAGGCGGCATGGTGTTTTGTCGGCTGTAGTAAGTTAGCTTGAGGGTATATCTGCGCAGATACAAATATTAACTCTTATTTGGGTCTTGAGCGATTGAACAAAACATGCAATATTTTTTGTGAGTAATGTATGTGCACAAACATTATTTTTTTCTGAGTAATATTTTAGTTTTTTCAACTTGATCTCTACAAAATTTGTCTATGACAAAACTAATAATCTTCATCCTATGCAACCCATGTGTATAAAATGTTGATACAAATATCATTTTTTAATTGCTATTTGGTCACTCCCTAAGTCTAGATTAATCTTTTAAAAATGTGAAATAATAACTGAGGTTAACATTCTTTGAAAAAGGGAAAACAATACGTTAAAGAACAATAATAGAACGTTTGTTTAAAAGAAAATGAAAGAAAGTAATTTTGAGACATGTGAAAGAACAAATAATTACGATACAAATGCAATTGAATAAAAAATAACAATTGAAGTTAAATTGTTTTGCCCCAAATTCCTAAACATACCCCTAATGAAAAACAATGTGTATTCAGAGTAAATTCGTGAAGTGAAACAGGGTAGGGGGAGATAGCGAGTAAACAATGTGTAATCAGGGTTGTTTACCCCTACCCTATTTTACATTTTTACCCCTCTAAAAAAACAATGTGTATTCAGGCTAAATTTTGTTTAAGCATACCACCCTCGATATTTTATTTTATTGAAAGCGTGTGGCACTTTAAATTAATAAGCACCTCTAAATGACCAACACGATTTTAATAATACGGAGTAATTTTTTAGAGATACTGGCGGCTCTTTTAAGTGCACAACTCGCCTCCACATTGCAAAGTAAACGTGTCCCTATAGAAGTACCCTACTATCTTAGCTTATTACTAGGGGTACAGTTATGCACTAATTATGTGTAATACTTCTGCCCATACATTAAGAACACGTTTACTTCACGGGTTACTAAACGGTGATTATTAAGATTCGGGTTAATAAGCGACATATAAAATAAGCAGTGTTGTAAGCTCATGTTTACTTCAAAAGATTTTAAACACTATTTAACATTAAAATGTCCAAAATAACCATACATATATAGACACACAAACATTCATGAACATAAGTACATAATATAATATGTGGGGTCACCTCGTACGTGTAACCATACCCCTAACCCCTTCCGTGTAACCCGTACCCCCTACCCTACCCCCAATCCCATACCATTGACCCCTACCCTTACCATCTACCCCTACTCCCCCTATAACCCTTCAAACCCCATACCATACCCCCTAACACGTACCCTACTTGTAGGGGTGGGGTCGGGGTGGGGGTAAGGGGTTCGGGGGTGGGGGTAGGGATAGGGATGGCGAAGGGTGAAGTTCGGGATCAGGTGGGGACGACGAGGTAGGGGCATGTGATAGGGGTAAAGGGGTGAGGTCGGGGTAGGGTAAGGGGTTACGGTGGGGTGGTGGTACGTGGTAAGATGTTAACTGGGGTAGGGGGTAGAGTAGGGAGGATGGAGTAAGGTGGAGTGGGGGTGGGGGCAGTGGTATGAAATGGGTAGGGCCGGAGTAGGGTAAAACTGTATGAGGGTAGTGGTCGGGGGTAGGCTAGTGGTTGCGAGTGGGATGGTGAGGGTAGGGTAAGGGATTACAAGTGGTGTGGGTAGGGTGGTGGTAAAGGCTAGGGGTCGGGTCGGGTCAGGGTGGGGTATGTGATAGGGGGTAAAGGGTCGGGTAGTGGGTTACGGGTGGGGTAGGGGATGGCGTAGGGTGGTGTCAGGACCACCTGAGGTATGGTCATGTGATCTGGGGGTAAAGGGGTGGGATAGGATGGTGGGGTCGGGTATGGCATGGGTTACATGTGAGGGTGGGGTCGGGGGCCGTGGCAGGGGGTAAAGGGGTAGAGTCAAGGTGGGGTAAAAGGGTATAAGGATAGGTTCGGGGTAGGTTGGGTAGGGGGTGAGATCGAGGTGGGGGTCGGGCTAAGGTAGGGTATGGTAGGGGCGCAGTGGGTAGAGGGAGTAGCGATTAGAGGGGTAAAATAGGGTAGGGGGAGGGGTAAGGCTAAATTCGTAAAGTGAAAAAGATTAATGTGCCACCTAAAACCTAATTAATACATGGGGTGGTATGCTTAGACGCTTGGTAAGCGGCACTTTAAGCACCTCTTTCGGTTAGTAAGTAGTTTTTTAACCAGCTTGCTTGTTTACTTCACCTGTCTTACTAATCCAACTCTGACTTTAGCAACGAAGTAAATGTCTCCTAAATTTTGTTAATTTTCTTTTCCTAACATGTAAATATTTTTCCACACTATTTTACTTTTGGAATAAGTAACATGCCTTTTGATATATCATACTACGTAAAAAAAAGTAGCATTGCCTTTAATTTTAGAGAAAAGGGTCAATAAGCCCATCTACTAATATCAAAACATCATTTAAACCCTTATACTTAATAAAGCATCACACAGACACTCTTACCGGTGAAAAACAATCAACCAACCCCAAGTGACTAGGAAGCAACCGGTACTTGTAGAGTTGTAGGTAATGCTTCCGTTTTCTTTTGTTTACCCTTTCTTCTTTATTCTTGCTTTGCCCAGTTGCCGCACTCCCGTTACAAACTCCAAACTACGTTAGTCTCTTGTTTTTTTAACTTTTTTGCTTTTCTTTTTCTTTTCTTCATCCTTTTTTTTTTAATAATTTTCTTCATTCTTTTTATCGTTTGTGTGTGCATTTACCTAGATTAATTTATTCTTTTCATTTTTTTCTCTATTTCGTTCATGGTCTATTTTTTCATTTATTATTATTATTATTATTATTATTATTATTATTATTATTATTATTATTATTATTATTATTATTATTATTATTATTATTATTATTATTATTATTATTATTATTATTATTATTATTATTATTATTATTATTATTATTATTATTATTATTATTATTATTATTATTATTATTATTATTATTATTATTATTATTATTATTATTATTATTATTATTATTATTATTATTATTATTATTATTATTATTATTATTATTATTATTATTATTATTATTATTATTATTATTATTATTATTATTATTATTATTATTATTATTATTATTATTATTATTATTATTATTATTATTATTATTATTATTATTATTATTATTATTATTATTATTATTATTATTATTATTATTATTATTATTATTATTATTATTATTATTATTATTATTATTATTATTATTATTATTATTATTATTATTATTATTATTATTATTATTATTATTATTATTATTATTATTATTATTATTATTATTATTATTATTATTATTATTATTATTATTATTATTATTATTATTATTATTATTATTATTATTATTATTATTATTATTATTATTATTATTATTATTATTATTATTATTATTATTATTATTATTATTATTATTATTATTATTATTATTATTATTATTATTATTATTATTATTATTATTATTATTATTATTATTATTATTATTATTATTATTATTATTATTATTATTATTATTATTATTATTATTATTATTATTATTATTATTATTATTATTATTATTATTATTATTATTATTATTATTATTATTATTATTATTATTATTATTATTATTATTATTATTATTATTATTATTATTATTATTATTATTATTATTATTATTATTATTATTATTATTATTATTATTATTATTATTATTATTATTATTATTATTATTATTATTATTATTATTATTATTATTATTATTATTATTATTATTATTATTATTATTATTATTATTATTATTATTATTATTATTATTATTATTATTATTATTATTATTATTATTATTATTATTATTATTATTATTATTATTATTATTATTATTATTATTATTATTATTATTATTATTATTATTATTATTATTATTATTATTATTATTATTATTATTATTATTATTATTATTATTATTATTATTATTATTATTATTATTATTATTATTATTATTATTATTATTATTATTATTATTATTATTATTATTATTATTATTATTATTATTATTATTATTATTATTATTATTATTATTATTATTATTATTATTATTATTATTATTATTATTATTATTATTATTATTATTATTATTATTATTATTATTATTATTATTATTATTATTATTATTATTATTATTATTATTATTATTATTATTATTATTATTATTATTATTATTATTATTATTATTATTATTATTATTATTATTATTATTATTATTATTATTATTATTATTATTATTATTATTATTATTATTATTATTATTATTATTATTATTATTATTATTATTATTATTATTATTATTATTATTATTATTATTATTATTATTATTATTATTATTATTATTATTATTATTATTATTATTATTATTATTATTATTATTATTATTATTATTATTATTATTATTATTATTATTATTATTATTATTATTATTATTATTATTATTATTATTATTATTATTATTATTCCTTGCCAATAATAAATGTTTAGGAAACACACATAAATGTTTTTATGCCAAAAACTATATAATTTTTATGCATATTTTCAAAATCATTCGTTAATTGTTCGATTCCTATTTTTTATTAACAGTTCAGTTCTCGGTTCGTGAAAAAATATGTACCCGGAACTGTTAAGAAACCATTATACGATAGTATGTAATAATTGAAATTTTATATATTTCTTAGGGAAAAGTACAGAAAACGTACATGTGGTTTGAGCCGTTTTTAGAATAGAGACATGTGTCTCGTTTTTTAACAAAGTGGGACATGTGTTTCAATTCCATTTCATAGGTGGCGCATGACGTCTAACGCCGTTAAAAAAATAACTCCAATTTTCAAAAGTCTCTGAAAAATTAAAAGAAAAATATTGGCAGGTGCGCCTCGTCAAGGAGACCAATCAACTATCATTCTCTTTGGATTTTTCTGCTAAAAAAGATGGCCCGGAGGTCTTCTGGACGAGACGTGTCACGCCCCAAACCGCAATCTAAGCGCGTGTACAACCACCGTATAATCAAATGACGTCACTCGCGAGTCCACCTCACTTAACCATACAAGGCGTTCAATAAAATAATCCAT